TTCCCTTGTCTCTCCCCTGTGAACTCTACTTTCACATTTCAGATTGGCACCATCGAGCCGAAAGTAAATATTTATCATGACTGTGATGACGGCATCAAAGTGAGCTGTGGTTTCTGTTCTTCAAACTTTATATCACTTGATTGTTGGCTTTTTTTGAATATAATCCGCTCCTCAATTCCCAGTAGTAAATGGGCTTTTTCAAAGAAGAATATTATATCTGTTGACCGGACCTCCCTTTCAAATACGATAGGCATAGACCCTATTTAACAGCAATGGTTTCGGCCTCGTATTTTACCTACCGTACTTTCTTGTATAGAAACTTGTAAAAGTCAGCTGATAGACCATTTAGAGCTCCTAAACAGCCTGGTACTAGTTATTTGATTTCACAGAGGTAGGGGTTGCTAAGCCTTAGCGGAATTCAATCTCCATACAACATGCTTCTTCTTGTGGACCCATGAAATTGATGAATCAGTAACGAAAGCTAAATATGTATTTGTACGTCGCGGCAGTAAAATGCAATGTAAACAGTAAAAAAAGTAAGATTCGATTAAAAAAAGTTTTTTCTTTATGTTGCTATTATAATGACTTTTACAGCCTTGTCAACGGAAAGTGACGGTATTCATTCCATCAGAATACATCACAGACGCTAAACAACCATCGAAAACGTTCAACTTGGGAATTCTCCAACTAGCTGGAAAATTCGCAGGAGAGGAGAGAGACTGCCTGCACGCTTGATTCTAGGCGAAAATTTTTCTTATTTTTATGAAATTTACTGGAAATACAGAATAAATCTACAATACTATTGTATTCAACATCCTTCTTTAAAACCTCCTTTATCGGCCATGATCACAAAGTTTCGAGTGCTGTTCAATAGTATTTACTAGAGATGCTATCCAGTACTTGAATTTATTTGGCATTGTCCCAGTGCAGAACCATGGGTTCGCTTCGAAAAGGTTGCAACCAGTCATTGACAATATGCACTCTTGGTATCGTAAGACTTCAAAGTCACGCCTAGACCTTCTTCCAGGTTATGCTCGTGTAAGAGAAAAAAACGATCTCACAACATTTCAACTTCAACAAAATGCTCGTACAAGCGGCATCCACGTCGTCAGAAAACGCTTTCCATTATCGTTAGGGGGTGCCAGAGGTTGAGTAAGCTGTACACCTATAAAAGAGTTGCATGAATTCTCTCGAAAACTGGGATAGTGGACTGCTCGGAGACGTGATATAGTCATGCTAAAAGTGAACATGGTTTGGGTAATAGAACCTGTAAGGGTTTATTCAGAAAGGATGGACCTCCAGCGAAAGCTAGCCGCACGGGTTGCAATCGTAACTTGGAAAAGCGGTGTGGTCTGCCAAGTTTCATCGCCCGTTATCAGTTTTTCACCAACAGCAAACAAGTGGCTGATAAACCAAGGAGTGAGGTTCTTCTTCAGTGTACCTATTTATTACTAACTGAAAGGTCGATGACTTGTTGGAAACACTACTACAATGAACCTCTGCCAACACAAGTCAGTTCGTTTTTCAGTTCTCAACTTACAGTTAGATAGTTCCAGCTTTCCAACGTTCCTTCGTTTTAGGAAGAACTTTGCCGTGAGACTGGTGCGATGTGCGGATATGTGGAAAAAGGTCTACCCAGATCACAATGGGAAAAAAGACTAGCCGTGATTACTCGAGACCACAATCTCGTCATTTACAAGTATTACTTACTGGACATATGCCCTGGGTTAGAGTTTGCGACTCAGTGCGCTGTCAACTATTTCCAGCGCAGTCGCTGAGAGCAGTATTGGAACTGTAACTTTATTATTTAAAATCTTTTCCAATCTTTTTCAAATGATATCGCACTTTATTAGGGATTTCACCGTGTTTTATGTGTACGCTGATGTCAGAGAAATCCCTAAGGGAGCTCTCACACTTGCGTTGTCCGCCCCATAGAATCGCGGACTTATTGTTAGATGATCTTTCTGTACGTGGACAATTCCACCTACCTCTTGCTACTGCGCAAACTGAATGAGACTGTGGGATTAGAGAATTAAGGAGGTCTGTGAGGTAGAAATCGTTATCACTTACGCTACATGCCTATCTCAATATGTTGGAAATGGGGAATCAACCATAAACGAATCCAGTCTTCGGAATGGACTATACAAATTGATGCCATCCAATGTTTTTGCAACAAACGATTTTTCTATTCTGATCTTTGGCAACCAGTGGTGTTTTCAGTTCATGGACCTTTTCTTGAAAATAGCATGTTTGAAATGTGGGCTTATCAGCATTAGATAGCATTCTTTCAAAACAAAGTGGCCACTTGAAAGGCACAGTTCCTGATAATTTTGGGTAATCCAGATTATGAAAGAAAAATAAGATATGATGGAAACAGCGCGAAGAATGCGATGAAAGTGCGTGAACCGGTGTTTTCAAAGTGAGAAGGCCTCAAGAAATCGTTAAAAAGGGGGCTGGATGAGAATAAGATCGAAAGAATGAAGAAGAGTTGGGCGTTAGGACGAGCTGTACAATTTGTGTCGTTACGTACTTGTGGGTTCTGGTGCGAATAGCTGACTACCGAAAATGTCTTTTGAATTCACTAACTCATAAGCATAAGTTAACAAAAACCCTAGTAACCGCACAAACATCCCACTTTTTGTAGCTTCTTGAGGAAGAGAGTTGGATAAAGGATCTCAGCAACAAAAAGAATGGCAGAGAGTAATGGAAAAGGCGAAAACATCGCCTCGCTACTTGATGATCAGCTGAAGTGTGGGTCCTGGCGCGAATATTGCAATCTGTAACGCCTCAACACACATGATCGTTCGATGGTAGTGGCATCCGGGCGACTCAATAGCAGGACTTCCACTATGCCCTAGCTGTGGCTGTAGCTGAGGTTCTGTACCCGACAGGGTCCTTCATATTATCCTTGAGGGCACAGGGTATTCCTAGTGGGTGAACTCAGGCACAATTTTTATCGTGAACTACGCCTTCAAAGATATGACGCGTGCGGGTGCGGCTCTAAAAATCTCAAATGGGCGGCGCTAGACTAGCAAATCCTTGGCATCCATTAATTACTTTCTGTATTTCTGCGCTACTTCACCACTGTACGGGGCCATTTGATCACTGTAGTCAAAACCCTTCACCTTGTCGTAACCTTCCACAACTTTAGGCTTTTCGTTGATGCCGCATGTAGTATGTTGATCTCACTTTTGTTTTGTCCACTTCAAGAGCAGCGCCCTTAGATTGGTTTGCTGGAAATAGATATTCCTTATCTCAGCGGCCTATTCTTCACAGCGAGCGCCTTTGCGGTATTTCCTCATAGTTCCGATATGATTGGTTTTTCATGCAAGCAAAGGGTTCGCTAGTGACAGGCTTGTATAGATACCATTATCACTGTACAGGTCTCTTCCTTGCTCTAAATAACTTTCCATGGGCTCCATAATCACAGCTACACCTCCAATCCTTGTAATCCCTGCCAGCACAAGCCTTCACCTCTAAAGTGTATGCACCTTTGCAACAGATCTTGAAAAGTTTGAAGCCGTACTTGTGGCTCTTAGATTCCTTAAATTACTTGAATGTAATTCTTCCTTAGAATGGTATCATTGTTTCATCAGTACAAACTTCCTTTTCTGGCTTGTACATTCGTTTAAAAGAAGTAGTGAGCAAGTCCAAAACCCGTTGAAATTTATAGAGTCGACTTTCTTTGTCGACGTTCTCGTTGTCTACGAAGTATAAGCATGATAGCAAGGCTTCAGAACGATTGCTGACCATGATTTTAGTCGCCACAATACTTTCGAAAGTAGGCTTCATAGACCAGCAGTCACGTAGTCTCGGCAGTGACAATTCTCACGTAGAGAAAGGTGCTCTAAAATCGTTTCATTCCCTGCAAAGATGTATTGGCCCACTTCTTATTTTATCCATCAACTTCTTCTTTGCATATCTGTTCGTCTCTGTAATCATGAGATCTACCAATCCTTTGGTTATGAAGAGCTGGTAGCAATCGATAGGCCTCGTCTAGTTCTCAACAGCGTGGTCTTTGAAAAGGAATCGGTCATAGAGAACAATGTTTTCATTCTAAGACTGTCCGTCATCTTCTTCACAACTATGTTCATGCTCGTCATCCTCTGATGAATCATACTTATTAACTAGTACAACCTACGCTTGAACAGAGCCATCATTCTGCGAAGTCCCTTCTTCTTCGCTGAAACTGGCCGACTCATCTGAAGAGCCATATAGCTCTGCGATGTCGTCAACGAAACTCTTCGTCATGATCCTCAGGAGTGGTCACTTATTGACTTGTTCAGCCTTTCAGAGCCACAATGTCGAATAAGGCCAGGGTTATACTTTTCAATGACCTATGCGGACCGATTTGCAGTCATGTGGCCGTCCGGTCAGCCTCAACATGACAGTCGCAGAGCATCCATTGATTCTCAAGGGTCTGGAATGTCATACGAATTTCTACTGCATACATTATTTTCAGGATTTTGTTCTACATTGCTTCCAAGCCCAAACTCTATTCTCAGGCCTCACTCAGTTATAATGAATAAAATAGGCTTTGTTACTTCCAATTTAAGAGAATTATTTGCTCGATCGAACGAGAATTAGAATTGGCTTTCCCCTGGGACAATGGCACCTACCGATGGATGCCAGTCGCGCACGAAAGGAAGGGGGCGTGGTTTGTGGGCGCGCCACGTCGAAAACCGCGTAGTTGGCAAAGGGTTAAGCTGTGGGTGAAGGCGCATGGCTGTTGTACAAGAAACGGGATAAGCGTCAGTTCGCACACTTGATCATGAGAGTACAGTAGCGCGTTTGCAATTTGATAAACACCTTCATTCTGGTGGAAGGTATCATTATAATACGTAGGTCGTGGTCGGAAACCTGCTCGGAAACCAGTCAAAGAAAGGGTTACTTTGAATCAAACGAATTTGTACACTGGATCTCTTCCGTAGTGACAGATCATCAGAAAGAAAGTGCCCTTTGGTGTAAAGAGTTACGAGGCGGAACTTTTATACAGTAATCTAAATATGATAATGATATTCATGAAAGGTATGATACATCAGTCACCCCGGAGGATACTATTGAGGTGATTTACTTGAATGGAAGAACCAAGCACAATCAGGACATGAGGCTCCAAGTTTTGCTCTCGCTAACCGAGGAGAATTACTTTTACGGTACAGATTTGGAAATGTTCGAAGCTCTGATTGTTTTATTATTTCAGAGAACCACTCATGGGCAAAATATATGAACTTGACAAAATCAAGAGCTTGCATATCGAAACAATACCAGGCGGTGGCGTCATAGCCAGCATTCAAACAAAGGATGGCAAAAAGGTTACTTACAGTTCTGTTATCTCACAATTTGGCAGCTAGCCTTGTTTAAGGAAATATTCATAGTTGCAGACTTGGGACATCCTTTAGGGTCACCTCGTATTAGATACGTATTAATCTTGAGGATGGAGATTCTGCGGTTTATTACTCCGGTGGTTTGAGAATAACCAATTGTAAAGCCTAGCAGTCAAGAATGTTTCAATTTCGAGAAAAAAAACTTTCCTCAGCTTAACGTACCTATTGACTGAGGCGTTAGAATCGAGGCATCAGCTGTAACAGATTAGTTCATTCGTTGAGTTCGCAGAAGCCTTTCTGCTCTTCTCGCACTCCAGGAGATATACCAAATTTTGAACTTCTCAACAATTCTTCCATCATTTGTTTATATTTAACTGTTAATAGCAGAATTTATCAAACAAGCACTTTTGATATAATCGAGCTAGGCATGTGGCGAAAAATCGTGTACTTACTCCGTCAGTTTGTACACCATCCCAACTTCTGGACACACCCCTGATGAGGTTGTTGTGCTAACAAGAACTAATGCGCGGTGAAACAAGACAAGGTGACAAGGACAAGGAGATGAACGACTGACAAAGGCTTTCCATATGGTGCTTCGTCACACATATACCTTCTGCTGCGGAAGCGCACACTTCAAACAGCCAGTCGGTGTGTCTTTACTTCGGAACGTTGACGGGAAGGAAGGGCTGTCGGGTACAAGGTTTATCCAATCAAGTGGAAAATCACCATCTGTCTAAGCTTGTCATTTTCCGTGCGATGAGGATTACACACAGCGGTGCTCAGTTTATTCACGGACACCTTTTAGGTTGAGGCTTTCCTAATTCTTTCCCATGGACTACAAATGTTCGCACAAGTGTACCAATGAGGCAGCGAGATTCAGCTAATAAACAAGCGGGATAAACGGCTTCAAAGACCTTAAGACCACTTTTGTCTTGTTATCATGCAGCAATGTGTATCGGTCCCTGCAATCACGATTCTACATACGTATCGGGCGGAATGCCGAGTTGTGGTATATTTCAAATCGGGATATAAGCCGAGACATAAAGTATTAAAGTTGCCTGTCTGGCGCGTTGCTTACAGCCGACAATTACTCATTCTCAGTAGTGATGCATCGATGCACAACTTCTAGAGTCGATTCGGTCTACAACGAGACTCACGCCACGTTCGCTTGCTCTCTCTGTTGGCGATACTGGCTTGCTGTCTATTCAGTCTTAAAAGGCGGTGGCCCTAGTGTTGCTCCTTCTGCGGTACCGTTCTGTGCGGAGCTCTGTCAAGGCACAAAATTGGCGGCTCCTATCTGTTTTACGTTTATACAACGGATCTTCTGCACACGGAGGTATTTCCATACATACATTTGTTAGTGTTAGAACATTATCAATATGCCTAAGATGACATGTACCGCCTACGAACGGAATCATAAGAGTTCAATCATGACATAAAAACAATGAAACCAGTAACAAAGAGAATACTGAAAGTTGCAATACAAAACTGCTAATGATTCAGTGTTGGTCACGGCCCTTGTCTCGAGCCGCGACAGGGGCATCCAAGGTTTGAACTTCTTGCGGCACTTAGTACCTTCACGTCCCATTCCACTGACGCGGTTCTTACAACATATAGTTCCTCAGAAGAATCGGCCGTCCAGATGAAGATGAACTATAATAGTCGGACAGGAATAGGAAGGTGCAGCGGAATAGACAAGACCAGCGATGGGGATGATGACGAATGAATGCAAAGGGATGGTGACGAAACTAAGGGCGTTAGAGAGCACCTCTATAATCGCAAGAAATCGACTGCAACGTGGCATTCGCTCTTTGCTGAGATGTCGACACAAAGTTCCTTTCTAGCGGTACTACGACGCGGCGCCGTTCCGGATAAGTTGGCCATGAACTCGGCCGAGAGGCACGACACCGGGTACCTACTTGGTCCTTTGCAGCCATGGCCTACATTAGAGGAAGCCCTGCACGACTGGCCAGCCACAAAATTCGATGCTTGGCATACGGGTGCTCACGTACTCTTTCGAGTGAAAAGTTGGTTTAACTTGTGTTAACCCTTACTCTAAAAAGACATTAGGCATAGCATGAACCCTTGATTGAGGCTAGCAGGCATAAAGCCTCATTTTGCGGAGTTAGGTGGGCACTGTGTGAATGAGGATGGCAGGAGGGGAGCGCAAGTAGCATGGGCGAAGTTAATGTGCCGAAAGATGTGAAGGCGTTCCTTTCCTTCCAAAATTTTGTACAAGTTTGCCAAAGTTCTTTTCCTTTATTGGACCGTGTTTCAGGTAAAACTGCGATTAACAGGAGGAGACGCAAATGCGTGGGCCGCCAAGTTTATTCAGTAAGCTTCTACGCCTTCAATTGAATAAAGCGATAAATGCTAGTCCTCCAGGCTTAGAGAAAGCTGAACCGGTAACCATTACAACCTTCTAACTGTAAGCTAGGGATTGCTCAAGAAAAACGAAATGGCGTTCCAAGATGTTTTCACTCGCTGATATCTCTCCTTTTAGTTGCAGCTCGAATCCTAGACAGGCGTCTAGGCCAACAGATCCTTTCATCTTTCTAGGGTTGGTTAGTTGACACTAAACTCGTCCGATTGTGAGTGGATAAAAACACCGACATCGTTTGGTCGCATGGGTTGCAGAGAGCTCTTGTATAGGTCAAACATGCACTCACTTCTGCGCTTGTTGATGGAAACCTAGATGGAAACTCACAATTACTTATACTTCAACTGCTTCTAGCTTTATTTTCACCAAAAAACGATGACTCTTAATACGACGGTTGCAGTGCCCAAGCAGCATCGGTAGGGCATCATTCACATCCAAAGCAGTGCTTCGAACCACCATCGAGTTCGTCTGAAGCGAGTAATAGCGCTGAAAACATAAGACTATCGTAAGTTTATTCATTGTGCTAGATCTCAAAAAAAAAACAGCGCTAGTAAGCAAAAAGCTACAGTTGGGCTTCGCGGCCATGGCTATCAGTAGAGCCTACACTGCATGGACAAATATGTATAAAATGGATATTACCTAGTATGCTTCCATGCCTTCACTTTACTACAGGGTACTCAACAAGTGACTATACATTCCATACCTTACAGCATCAGTCTATGGCAATAATGAGAGACGCCCAGCTAACGCAAGTTCTCCTCCTTTTCGTGCTAGAGTTAACCCGGCCTGCATTTTCCTAAATTTCGACGCTCTGGTTTGAGGAAAATGAGTTATCAGTTCTCACGAAACACTCACCGACACACGTCGTGCGCTACCACCCCGCCGTTGGAGCCCTTCTCAAGTCCTCTGTGTTTGAAAGCAGAGTTCACGATAATTCCATGATATCCAATTTGAGACCAGTAATGGAAGTGGTAGTCCAGAATAGTGTAAGAATGGCGAAGACGCTAAAATCGGCGCATTCACAGAACTATAATGCCTCACGAAAAAAGAAGTGTAATTAGGGGTTGGAAGAGAACTTTTCGAAAAAACTTCATAGCAGTGGTATTTGGTGGCGTTCACCACTGCACACAACTGCCTGCCGTAAGGTGGCTGGGGAGATGGGCAGTGGGCCCACTTCTGCAATATGCTACATTCCTTCGCGCGTGGTGTCCCTCTCGCCGCGATGTGGACAATTTCGATCCTACTGCACAACGCTCAGGCACCTGCGTGCATATGCAGGCCACGGTGATAACCGCTACAGCATTCACAACGCTTGAAAACTCGTCCGCTTTGGGTGTGTAGCTTGCTGAACGCTCGACATAGGAAAGGACCATATTTCCAATATAGCTGCTTTCCATTTTATTTTTTGCCTCTTTCTCAGGACAGCGACTTCACCCTCACAATCGAATCACAGCAAGTTTTCATACAGTGCAACACTGCCTCCTTCCGTAGCTTCTGTGGATGAATATGGAGGGTGAGCTTTCATCCCAACTTTCTCGGAAAACGAACCAAACTGCATAAAACTTGCCCAACGTCGGATAAGGTTGTTGCAGGAGCGGAACGAGTACTACGAGGCGAGTTGATTTGCCAAGCATCATTGTTAGTAGAGCTGAGACAGAACGAGCACGAGGAGGAAAAGAGGAAGATATGGACTTCTCTAGTGTACGTTCATGTGACGATTCGGAAATTTTCTTCTAACGTTGCTTTGCCCTTGGTGTGGTTGTGAAGATATCGATTACGAAAGCGCAAAATCAATACACATTGCTCAGCAAATGCGTTAGGTAGCTAGAGCGCGATGGCAGCCGAGCAAGAAAAGGCGGTTTTCTTTATCGCACTAGTCCGTTCTTAACGCACAGGGGCTGAAAAATCCGTTCTCATGGTGAAGTATGAGATAAGCAAAGCGCTGTTTTATCAGGGATCGCTTCTGCTACACCGATCATGCTACCTAGACAATTCCAGCTTGTTCATTCCATTCTGACGCCATCAACTCGACCGTCAGATACGAATGCAGTGCGAAATCAACTGGACGAGCTTATTAGACGACATATGATGGATGACGCTGTTGGGAAGGGATTGGATTTGTCACCTTCGTCACGAATAGATGCGGCTGCTGTGCGGATTTCTAAGGTATTCGAATGCAACAATCTTATTTAGTTATACTGGTACTTTTTTGATCTCGAGTTAAGAAAGAGTAATGTATAGATCCTTTCTGGCTTAGTTACCTTAATGTCTCAATGTTTCACAAATTTTCTTTTGATGACATAGAGAAGGATTTCGGGTACATGTGCTCAATTTGCTGGAACAGCTACTATACATTTCAATGATAGCTCCAAGTAATTTTCATATGTTTGGACCCCTTGGAACCACTAATACCCAATCTAAGCGCAGGCCACAAGCACCATCGCTCTTCGAGCCCCTGTTGAACCCTACATTGGCCGTTTGCCAACTTGACAAGCCTCATCGGAGCATAGGAGTCACAAGTCCGTCCCAGCAGGGGATCTCTAAAACCATTTTCATCACGAATCGAGCCTTAGATTCGACGGTGATAGTGTGAGCAGTAAGTGTACTAAGTCTTAATGGGAAGTCGCAGTGCAAATGTTCACAAACTTTGTGAAAATCGAAGGATGAAGCTTTTCGAATCCATGCTTACCTACAACTTTTGAAATTCAAAGTTCCTAGTTATACAGACAAAATGTCATCACATTCAGATTACTAATTTACAGAAGTGCATAAAAAACCAGAGAAAAATTTTACGTCCACAATCACTTCTTGAAATGCCCTATAGCACTGTTTGCAAGGAAAGCGCATGTTTTTTTTTTCATCCAAGCGACGTCCTTGTCGTCATAGGGCTGGAAATCTCTATGAAAAAATCTAAACAAATATATTTGAGTCAATGATAGCAGATTCAGTGACCTTCTGCTTAAATGACTGCATTCAGATTAATTCTGTGGAGATGAGGCGATACACAACCGATGAACTGTGAATTGTGATTTATTTGAAATGCGCTCTAAATAAATATTGTCTCATTTCTTCATGTGTCACTGTCAGGTATTTTCCATCAACGGAATGAAATCTAACAATTTGACAAGACGAGTCGTTTCGTGAGCATATTGTCTTACCTGCACTACGCCTGATTCCTTATTGAATATTGCCCCTTTGGAATTCGACTGCATCGTTTTTCTTGACTGATTTCTCGTTCGGAGCATGAACGCATTCAATAGACAAATATCTATAGCAGGGCTGGGGGTACTTCATAACTTACAGGATCAAATCACATACGAAACATAAAAGTCCCCACATGTGATTCCTCCTCACAAGAGATTCAATGTCGTGGACAGCTGAGGTTTGAGATCCAAATTGTCACCAGTGTTCCATGACAGATACGGAAACGTCGTTGTCAAATACAGTCAGAGAAATGTCAGCGTCAAAAATTTCACTACATTGCCTAGGAATCACATAACTACCAGGCCATCAGATCATGGACAGGTCATGAATGAAGCCAAAGAAATATGGCTCCCTATAACGACCACATCGATTCAAAGGGAGGCTCCATACATTTGCTTACCATTTTTTGAGAAAAAAATCCCGATGTATATACAGAAAAGTTCTGCTCGAGTTGTTATAGATACATCTGGCGGTCTCTTTGATTCAGAGTAAAGCGAAATGGAGTACTCTTGTACCCTTGGATCGACCACTCCGTGAACTTAATACTAGTCATACAAGTTATACAAGGTCCCCAGTCATTACCCACGCATAGATATGTAGGTCCCCAGTATCTGTGCGTGGGTCATCATGTATTTCCTTGTCGCTTTCAGTGGATTCGCGACTATTCCTGCTACTTTTGATTGAATCGGTGCATTTTATGTTTTACCATGTTTGAACGTGTTTGTTCGCCGCCCCTGCCAAACCACGGAGAACCATAATTTACCTTGTTTTACTTCTTTTTTTGCACTGTATTCTTTTATCAGAGCACGAGCTGATCAATGCCGGAAACTTAGAATCAAGAGCTTTCCACCCTTCTTATTTTGTCCACTTCGAATAGATGTCAAATGCTTTGTCTTGGTCGGACTTGGCCAAAGGTGGAATTCTGCCTACTTCAAGCAGGCTTGGCACACTCTCGATCTACTGGGCCAAATTCCTTCACTGCTCACTTTCGCGTTGTTTCATCTGCTCAGAATGGTGGTGCAACTTTTGTTTTTACTTAGATGAAGCCAGTTTCCCTCACTCCCGCCCCTTTGTGGGCGGAATCGCCTGAATCATGCGTGTTCAAAGAACCCTAACACATGCTTATTTGTGGTTATATAGTAGGAATTTTTCATTCTTTTTCATAGGGATGTTGGCCGAGAATAATACTCATATTACTATCTAGACTATTACCTAGCACTTCGTAGAAGTAAAAGAGAGCAAAAGCCATTTTTGCGCTAAGTATCATTTTGCTGAAGTAGAATAAAACAAAGGATTGAAAGGAACAAACATATATAACGAAAAGGAAGGCTGAAATAATTAGAGAAGGCTTTTATGGTAATCGCTTCCTCGAACCTTGGCTGGGAACATGTTTTCAAAGAGTGATAGCAGCTAAAAAACCTGAACTGCTTTTAAGAACAGCGACTTTTGAAAGTGGAATTGACGACTGTTAATTAAGTGGGAAGATATAATCGACGCTGTTGTGATTTCAGACAACCATACAAAGATGCATTTGTCAAGTTCCAATACTCCTTTTATTTGTAAAAAAAATTGTTCAGGATGTTCTAAAAAGCGTTTAGCTATGCATTAGCGAATGGGGTCGTCTAGGTGAATGAAAGTTACGTAGTAGTGTATTGGAGAAGAAAATCTAGTATGTATAGGATTTGCACAAAGATCGAATACCCAGATGCACATCAAAACCTCTCTGCAAAAGTGTAGGTCCCGGGGAGATTTGAACTCCCGTCGCAGGATTCAGAGTCCTGAGTGCTAACCGCTACACCACGGGACCGGTGTTCGTAAGCTCACGGTGACCACTCATGAAAGCATCTTTGAATACGCACGAAAGTGCGATGGGAGGATGGAACTCACTAATATTTCAAACCCCGGGTACAAAGGTAAGAAAGCATCAGTAACCAACTTTTCCCGTGTCTAATAAACCCTGGATGATGGCAAAAATCAAACTTGGCTAATGCTGAAAAACTTTCCCTAACTTTTGCCGTTACCTAGAAATAGTTATTCCCCTGTTAAAACATATATGTAACATATTTCCCAAACCCTTAGGCCCTCCAGTACGTCAGGAGCTGTAAGTAATGGGGTAGAAGGAAGGAACGGTCATTCTCACAAGTATAAGTAGGGAGCGAAGCTTGCTAACCTTGAAAGTGGACGGTGACTGTAAATGGGGCGTGGCCGGGAATAGACCGATTTGATAGCGCTCAGTTGAAGAGTGCAACAGTGGGTGGGTACGAGGTGTTCATGAATCAATTACCGGGGGACCGGAGACGATCACTCATTGACGACGTCGACGACTTATCGCCCCCCACACACCCTCGTGCCCCCGTGTCACATTGCGGCGTTGCGTTACGCGTGCGTCGTCTCTGTGCAGATCGTACTTACTGCGCGCTAAGCACACACACAAACAGCCAACAGTTCGGCCCTGTTTCTCTTCGACTGCGCAACCTGCAGCTCTTTTTCTCTGCGTGTCATCATCACCGCCACCTTAACTGCCGCCGGCTGACGTGACCGCAGCAGCAGCAGCAATGACAGCCGCCATGGCGCTTGCAAAGTTTCTTTCCGGGTTTTGATTTTCATCTGATAAACTTTAATTTGTTTCGTCTTTTGATGGTATCTTTTAGCCGCATAGGCTTTGTAGATGTTGTCAAAAGTATGGTAGATTACTGATAAGAGGATTAACTCATGAGACTCAAATCATCGTTACGTCTTCATAACTTCAAGCTTTTCATCACAAATACAGTCATGAACCCTTACTGCCGTCTTTCGGCGCTATTTGGTGGGCTAAGATAGCCCTCACACAATTTGTGACCCGATACCCCTTGCAGAATGTGCACAGCTTCAAGGTCAGGTGCTTTGTCTAACCTCAGGACGTCAGTGCTAATAGCTTTGTTTTTCCCTTCTCAATTTTCACTTTTACTATTGCTACCGTAAATCTTCTCCCCTTAATCACCCCCAGACCCTTGACTCTACAGCTGTCTATAGTTATTAGGGCATCCAAAGAGGTTTGTGGGCCTACTAAGCTGCTAACCGGGGCCAAAATCCCTCCACACGGCTTGCAGTATCGGCCGGCCACAGTCCTTCCTTTTTTGGGCGGCCCAATCGCCTCCTCTCCCCTCCTCCGCCCCAACCCCACCCCTTTTTTCTTTATAATCCTCCATGTAAATATGATTTTCTATTGTAATCCTGAAATAAATAAATGAAATGAAATGAAAAATAAAATATCAGTTACAGATCACTTTCATCAGTCACTGTTGTCCTGAGCTGCACCCACTCATGAAGGTTCTATTATAAATATTTGCATCTAGAAAACCAGTTCGTTGTGAAATCGAATGATACATTCTGCTTTGAGCTCGACCACATTACTCATTTCCACTGTTAAGCTGGTTTATGCACTTCATATTAATAGTCAGTGAGAAGTGTCCCTTTATATTGAAAGAGAACTAAGATTACCTGTATTGTTTAGTAAATGTGGAGGTTGATAGCATTACTTTTTAGTACCATGGGTTCTATCGAAGTCAAATATAGTTCCTGAACAATGGCAGCTGCAGCAGATGTAGCGCCGCCATGGCTGGGTAGTGAAAATTTTTCGTGGATGGTTAGGATTGTTGACTTAGGAGTCGATCAGTGCCTTCAAGATTACTTTGTAAATAGTTCAGCTTAGAATTGGATCAATTCGGTAATTCCGAAGGATACTCGTAATCACCGCGTATCCTGAGCGAAGGCAGAAGGGGATTTCCTCCTTCTCTTTCAAATTATGCAACTATGTTACTACGCCAGTGGAGATCCACCTATTAAATTGTGATATAAATTATTATTCGGATACCAATCTCTTCAATTGGATTCAAATTGGAACCTTGTTAGAATGACCTTTGCTTGAATACTATAATTATTCATTATATTATTCATTTTATTTTGTTGTTTTTACGAAGAATTTCCAGTACCCTCAATTGTGCAGTTTT